ACCCCCCCATCAAGCCCCCACCACCCCCACCCCAATGGACCCCTCACTTACCTTCCCCAGGCTGCAGCGCTCTGGCGCAGGCCCCGGGAGGCCGGCGACGGGCCTCCTCAGGCCTCCCCCGGGCCACAGCGCTCCGGTGATGGGCCTCCTCAGGCCTCCCCTGGGCTGCAGCAGGAGGCTGGCGATGGGCCTCCTCAGGCCTCCCCTGGGCTGCAGCGCTCCAGCGCAGGCCCTGGGAGGCCAGCAACGAGCCTCCTCAGTCCTCCCCCAGGCTGTAGCACTCCAGCGCAGGCCCCAGGAGGCCGGCAACAAGCCTCCTCAGGCCTCCCCCGGGCCGCAGCACTTCAGTGTGGGGAGCTGGTGGTGGGGCTTGCCGCAACCATCATTTGTGGTAGCTCCTGGGCTGCCGGAGCAGTGCTCCGCCGCGCTCCGGCCACAAATGACCGCTGCACATTTGTATATATTTGTCAAAGCCAGTTTGGTATTTTGGGAGGTCTGAGGATTCAGACTGCACATCTATATAAGGGAGTGGATCTTCTATCTGTAAACTTGTAATGTTTGAAATTTCCCCAGCTATTGGATTATGTGTAGAGAAGTGTGAACAGAAGGTTTCTTATTGCCTCTTTCCTGCTGTATCCCCTGAGAAACTGTACTGGAGGAGCCCTCTGAAACAGCATGGCATGCTGACCTATTGGAGGATAAATCTGCAGAAATTACCAACTCTCCCCATGCATAAGCAGAAGCATCTTCCTCTCCTGCAAGGGCCCCCTTGGATTCCACATACTGGGACATTCATTCCTGATATTGACATTTTATTCTCCATTTTCACCCTTATATTAACCATGAAAGCTAGTCCCAATTAGTGTCATGGTATTATGTGTTCCCTGGCTGTTTACTAGTTGTGGATTGTAGGCGGAACACTCTGGAAAAATGTGAGAGAATCTGCAAAGTGAACAAACAGAACTATTTCAAGCAAAGAGAACTGCTTGTTGACTTACAGCAAATTTAACTAATCATATGTTTTGCAAATTGCATTGTTGTATTTCTTAAATGTGGGAGAGGGAATGCGAATTAAAAATGTATGAATTTTATTTTATAAGATAAGATCATAATGTTTGCATAATTATGAGTTAAAATCAGGAACTGTCATTTTTATTCCCAATAATATCAACTAACTAGCTAAACTGAAACACTAAAAAGAATTTGCATCCAACTTTAAAAATCTTTTATATTCCAATGATGCCTTCAGAAATAAAACTTTGTGGCTCTTAAAGAACAACGAATCATTGTCTAGAAGGTGTGAAGAAAGCATCTGTTTAGAGTAATTATAGATTGTATTCATTGGCAAGTGAATTTCCATAGACCACTGACACTCTTGAGAATAGTCTCACTGTAACCAAGGAGAGATGACATTTTTAAAGAGACACACAATAGGCAAAAATTATGAAGTTCTTAATAATAGCATTATTTTTAGGGCTTTTACATAAGCAGCTGCTAGACAATGTGCTTTTCCTTTCAGCTTCATGAAGAGAAATTCCTCAATGCATTTTGTTTCTTTTTAGAAACTGAGCCATAGATGAGTTAGTGCAGAGTTAGACATTTAACTGCTGTAACTTCATGCACTTTGGCTTAGCTGCTTTGTGGTTCAGGCTGTGATTCTGTCTTTTCCTTTCCAAATTATCATCCTGAGAAAATACTGATGGTTACATTCTATTCTGTAACAGTTAATGATCTCTTTCTTCTGTCTCTCTTGTATTCAGCTCATTCTTTTTCCTTTAACTCTCTGATCCACATCATTTCCCATCAGTTTGCCATCTGTCATCTGAGAACCAGTCCAGTTCTGGTATAGTAAACATTTCAAGCTCTACATTTCATGTAAACCTCTTCATGCTCTAGATGTTGTTGTTATTAATACTACCTATGTGGTAAATCTGACCTTGACAATGGTAGTTTCAAAATGCTAGGTTCCTGAGGTGCCCGTCATAGCTGTCCTGCTAACCATAATAACGCCTTGAGGCTCTGATGCTATTACATTATCCTCTTATACACTGTATGTTGGGCACCTCTTGTGCAGTTGGGCCATCTCTAATGGGATCTTTGGTAGAGCGCATTTGACCTGCAGAAGGCCTTGGCTCCAATTTCTGGCACTTTTACTTTAAAAGATCTGTGGTAACAGATGTTGGAAAAGAGATCTGAGTGGCTCAAACTTTGAGATGTCGAAAAAACTTTTATTTGCCTGAGATCCTGGATATCTAAGGACCTATTATCAGAGTAAAGAATAGCTGGGCTAATGGATGATATTGGTATAAGGTATATATATTTAGCAGGGGAAGGGCCAATGAATCAGTGGCAAAGCTTTGAGTGCAGCAGTTCCCAAGTTTGATCACTGGCATTCCAGTAAAATAAATCTCAGGTAGCAGCTGTTGGGAAAGACCCCTCTGTGTCTGAAACCCTAGAGGACAGCAGGCAGTCAAAGAAGACAGTACTGAGACAGGTGAGCCAATGGTCTGACTCAGTAAAAAGCAGTTTCGTATATCCACATCTTAATAATGAAACTACTACTCTCAACATTAAGGAAAACATATTCTGGGGTTTCCTTTTTTTTTTTTCCTGGCCCTGTTCCTATGGGACTCAGGAAGGGCCTTGTTAAGAGATCATCTTTCAGAGGTCTCTTTTCTGCTAGGAAACTATGACTTTTCTCTCAAGATAAAGAACACATCCAAGATTTGCTGTTCATCAATGTGTAGGCACTACTGTGTGTGATAGCCTGATGCTGCCTGGACACCAGTCTCTGTGGGTTCTCTAATATGTCAGATTAAATCTTACTGACATGCCTTTCAGGTATTGCTTCTCTCTGACAGCTCTGAAGTTAACTGCGCTGTGGAATGTACATGGGGTTTCTGCTGACTGTTGACTGACAGAAAGAGGTTGTTGGAAAGAGGCTAGTGGGTCATCTTTTCCATGCACATGGTTTTGTTTCCCTGCTTTTTTGTTGGCTTGTCAAGTTTCATTTTTAAATGTTTCCCAAGCAGTGGCCTGTCATTGAATCTTTTCTTCACTAATAATGTGCATCTAACTTGGCTCCAGATTTAAACAATTAAAATAGTTTAGATTCAGTTGTGGCCTATAATTTTTTTAAAATTAGAAATTAATAAAAAATTGTGCTAATACTCATTTATTTAGATGTAAAAGGCCACTCTGAATTTGATTTTAATTCAGTATCGTTGTATCTGACTTGGCTTAGAGTGCAATTTGCCACAGGCCTGGGGCAAGTAATAATTGTCCTCAGAGCAGATGACTGGCAGCACTCATTTGCCTCCTCCCTCCCCTAATGCTGCTATGCTTTTATTAGAGGCAGGTACATTGCAGGTCTCCTGCCTTTTTAAGTCTGACAGAAAGCAAGCCCTTTAGTCTCCTGATACCAACACCAGAAAGAATGCTGCCATACTATCCTAGTTGCCTCTTCACACTGAAGCTTTCTACTGTGCTGGGTTTTATTCTCCTGTAGGGAAGGGCCAGGGGCTGTAATGGGCCAGTAGTTCAAGGCTTTTGCTCTTTCTGTTTGGGGGAAAAAAGGATTTGGGGTGGAGGGAGAATGAATGGGAGAATGGAAGGAGAGCCAGCAAGAAACGAGGTAGCTGAGCACTCATTAATTATTTGCAGGGTTGAGAGGAGACCCATTTTTGTTTTATGTGTGTTTTGCGATTTATATTCTGTAATCCTGAGGAGATGTGTTTGTTTGACTTGGTTTTGAGATTCATGGTTGCCTGAGGGCTTCTGAAGTAATTCTAGACTGGCTCTTTGGTGATGATTCTATGATTCCTTTTGTTCTGATTGTCAAATTAGGTTAAAAGATTCCTCAGGGCAAATAGCATAACCTCCAGCCAATTATATTTCTTAAAGATGCATACACATTTGAGATATAATTTGGTGCACATCTCCTTTGGGATCATATGTAATCCTTAGAATTTAAGAGGTAGGTGTTTGGTTTTTCCATCTGGATGGTAAACTGTGGCAAGATTCAGAAGCAAACTGGTTTTTTACAGTATATTGTTCAGAAATACTGTCTTAATATATGAGGAGAGCACTATTGACATCTGTGGTGGCCGTATTTTTTACCTATGTGATCAGTGAGCAAGGTTCTAGCTTCAGGAGTAGTCTCATTCAGATCAATGCTATGATTATGAAGGTGTTAAACAAGCATTTCTCCTTTTGAGTGGGAAATTAAGTTTTTTCTGGGACTGGTTAGAAAATATTTCTAAGAATAGAAGACCTTTCCATTTTACATGGATGTTATTAACTTAAAAATAAAATTATATATATATTCAGACTTGCCTTAATTTGTGTCCTCTCCCCATTTTGTTCTAGGCACATCAGCTGGATTACTCAACTCACTGTCTGCGTCTAAAGTTCCTGACAGGAAACAAAATGCAGTTCTATGTACCAAAGTCAGATGAGGATATCTATGAACTGGTAATCTTAACTTTTCAATGAGAAATCTGTAAAAAATTTTAAAGAATGCCCTTTATTAGTCATCCTCTTGGGCAATTAACTGCAGCCTTTTGAAATTCATCAACATGACTTGAAATCAGTAGAAGGACCTAAAACCACCAGCAGAATAGTTTTTGTGTGTGTTTGCATGCAGTGGAGCAAATAATTTAGGCATTTTTTTAGTTTGTAATTAATTTTTGATCTGGAAAATAATACTTGTTGCTCATTATTAGTTTCTATAGGACGAGAAAAGGGAAGCACTTAAATAAACAGAGAGAAGGGCTGTTTTCAGGCCAAGGAAGCTGCATGGTATCCCTCCAAGTGGTTACTGATAGTCAGAGGTCATTTCGGGGGATCGCGGGGGATCGCAGTTCCCCCGGGTGAGGTATGGGGGGCAGGGCACATGACGAAGCCCCGCCCCCTGCTTCCGGCCACCCCGCTTCCAGCCCTCATTCAGCAAGGAGGAAGCAGGAGAAGAGGGAGGGCAAGTTGCTTCCTCCCTGCCTCTCCCCACCCCTGCCTGCCTGGGGCCAGGGAGGGCCTTTGCAAGGCTTTTTTGCACTCCCGCTGGCCTTGCAGGTCCACCGCCAGGCCCCTCATGGGGCTCGGCAGTGGAGCTGCAAGGCTGGCGGCAGCGACCGGGACCGTTGGGGGCGGGTGTGTGGCCTTATGACACACTTCCGGTGATGTCAGGGGGTGTGGCATATGCTAATGAGATATACTAATGAGTTCCCCTAGCTCTTTTTCTACGAAACGACCCCTGCTGATAGTATAGAATGGCAAATATCAATGGCTCCTGTAATAGGAGGCAAGAAATAGAGTCTTGATAAGGTTTGGGGAGCTAGAAGCTTTTGATTCAAGGAGAGTCAGTAAGAGATAAACATTCTCACTTTGAAACAAACTGGAGTAGTAAAGAACTTGACTAGAAAAGACAGTAAATACCGCCCCCTAGAGGAAGTGACAAGAACTAGTAGACAAAGAAAAAATGTTGAAATACCTGTAAATTAAGACAAAGCTTAACATTTTAAGATGACTTGCAGCTACATCTAAAACAACAATTGGAAAAAGCAATACCTCATAAAAGAAAAAAACCAAGCCCACAAATATAAAAATCTCCAACCTAGCAATAAGGAAGCAGTATCTATATACTATTAGCTTCATGTGGCTCCCATCTGTGGATAGCAAAATCCATGGTTCACAGCCACATGGAAGCTAAAGAGATTTTCCTGCAAATTTGGGGGACTTCTGAGGGGTGCAGAAAAATCTGAAATGTTTATATTCCCCCAAAGTAAACTAAAACATTTTAAAAATTAAAACTACTTTGCTTCTGTGGCAGCTGAGCCTGGCAACAGCAACGGCTGGTGCTGGGAGCTGCTTGGGGCTCAGAGTTGCTCCAATATAATACTGCGGGGAGGTGGGGGAGGGAGCCTTGGTGAGCCCACCTAGAGCAGCTTGGGCAAGCAGCTGAGAGCGGGATGGGGGGAGGATGCAGGCCCTCACTTGTAGCACATGTTCTTCTAACCATTTTTTTTGGTTTTTGCTTTGCAGTTATATAAAGAAATCGAAATCTGTGAGAAAGTTACGCAGCAAATTCATATTGAAAAATCTGACACACTGTCAGATAACTATGGTAAGTGTGTAGATTCAGGTGGGTAGCCACGTTGGTCTGAAGCAGCAGAACAAAGTTTGAGTCCAGTGGCACCTTTAAGACCAACAAAGTTTTATTTTTATACACTTCTTCATATGTGTTTTTCATGGGGTTTATATCAAATAATTTCTCTTTAGCATTCGGTTTATCAGCATACCTTCTAATTTTCAGTCCTTTATTCTAATTTGCATCCAAAGTCTCCTTTCTGCTATCACTGCAGCCTTCCTCAAATGCAAGGAGACTTCCACCAGTAGAACATGCCCCCTCCGCCCTAGCAAGGCTCTTTGCATCAGAGAGGGGCTCCAGAGAGTGACATAGTAGGGATTCAAATCTGAGTCTCCCAGATCCTAATCTGAAACTTTAACCAATACACTACACTGGCTTTCATGTGGTGGGTGCTGCTGAACAGTTGTGAAAAGTTGGGCGTGGGTGAGTCATGGAATCTCATGTGGTATCAAGTCACCTGGTGGTTACTGGCAGGCCTTGTCCTGATAAGTACTCTGTCAAAGGGCCCTGCCCTTTTCTGACAGAAATCAAGGCTTTAACTGACAATACTGTTGTGGCTGCTTATCAACAGCCACAGAAGACATCTGTTGCTTAAAACTACAGGTGCTGTTTCTGTTATTTGAGGGGGTTATCACCAAGGGTTTTTTTTTTAATAATTTCAATTTTTTTCTTATCTTAGGTTTTTAGAAAGATCTGTTTTGTCTGTTGATGGCCCCAGTCTCTGGACGTAAATACCACAGATGAGGCCACATTCAGAATTGGATATATTGATGATAGCAGTAGCCAGTTTTCTGCATTTCATGAACCACAACAGCAGCCTATGGCCTTATGTAACTTCTGTCTCCTTTTTAGTCATGAATGAAAGTTCCAACCACAAAAATTACTTCAAAAGCAGGACCCGGAAGAGGTTTCTACCACATCTGTTTTCCCCTTTGTATTAAACAGTTTCCCCTGAGGGCCATAAATACTTTGCTTAATGAACCAAAAAGCAAATTGCTGTCTCCACACCCTGGGAAGCTGTAGAATTTCAGAACAGCAAATATCCCACTTTAGAAAAACCCTAGCAATGAATAAATAACGCAGGATGATTAGCTTGTATTTGCATCCTGCATACTCAGGAGCTGATGTTATAAACAAAATCTACCTTGAGACAAAGGCAAATTTGTGATGTCAAACACCACAGGGCTTTAGTTCAAGGTTTGGGCAGTATTTTCATCTTTTTCTTGTATGTGAATATATAATAAACAGTGATCTGTGATTTGGCAAATAGGATTGTAAGGCAGGAAAACCTCAGAAAACAAGACTGGACTTAAAAATAGGTAATTCTGTTGAGGACTGCACTGAGTGTAATGCATTTGGATGAATTAGCAATAGTGTTTCTGCCTTATACCATCAATGTTAGCCTTTAAAACCATATCCTAAAATGTTTTCTAAATTAGCACAGTTTCTATTTATTGTAATGCTCCAATGAAATTCTGAAATTTATTGTTACGGTCGTTGACCAGAACATAGTAATACAAGTAATACACATTTATTTATTTATTTATTTATTTATATTTTTATCCCGCCCTCCCCGTAGGCTCAGGGCGGCTTACACGGTATGTCGCTGAGACATACAGTAAAACAGTAAAAGCATTAAAATATTAAATAGCATTAACACTTAAAACATCATACAGATACAACAGTAATTGGTGCTCGCCTCCGAAACCAGATGGTCGTCAAAAGTCCCGTTCTCTTTCAGAGTGTCCACATCTGATAACCCTGTCCACAAGCTTAGGGCGTAGATAGTAATGATGGCATGATGATGGTGATGGTGGCGGCTCCTATTCAAACGCCTGGCGGAAGAGCTCCGTCTTGCAGGCTCTGCGGAACTGTGCTAGGTCCCGCAGAGCCCTGATCTCCTCTGGGAGCTCGTTCCACCAGATAGGAGCCGCCACCGAGAACGCCCTATTCCTGGTCACTGCGAATTTGATAACCCGGGGACCCGGTACATCCAATACGTTCTGGGTCCCGGACCGTAGTGCTCTTGGGGGCACATATGGGGAAAGGCGGTCCCTCAGGTAGGCTGGTCCCTGGCCATATACCCAAAGCTTAGAACATTTCAGTTCCCTGTACATAAATATAATATTTCTGAAATACATCAATAAACCATTTATATAACCTAAAATACTGATACAACTTAAATCACATATAAAACCATCTCTGAAATATTAACTAGCATGACTTATCCAGTTATGATTTATGCTCCAATGTATATCTTGCTTTTTATCCTAGAAATGATAATTTCTGGTGCCTAATCCAGTAAAGTTATTTTTGTATACTGCTAGGTTTCTGGACGACTGTTCAGATTTTATCTTTGCATTTTAGTCACTTTGGTGAAGCCAGCAAGGGCCAATTTACATATCCTTTCCTACATACGCATGAACCATGTGTGCCTCAGCAGCCCAGAAACAATGTTGCATGTGCCGTGTTAATATTGCTTTTTCCATGGTCAGGCCCGTAGCCATGGGGGTGCACAAAGGTGCACTTGTCATGCCCCTCCAATCAGCACTAGAGGTTACTGGGAACTCTGTCACAAGTCTTCTGCCAATGAGAGAGGGTGTTTTCCTTCCTTACTCCCACCTCTCTCCCAAGCTTTACCAATGCGGTCTTTCCCTCCTTCTGTCTTCCTCCCAGGCTGTCCCTTTGCACAAAATAGTTGCTTCTTCTGTGCTCTGAAGCATGTGACACAGTCCTTTTCCCGCCTTGCTAGCTTGTGCCAGTCATGGATTTTTCTGATCAGCAGCCCTGTAGTACATCAAAGTAGAAGCTTTTTTTTTTTGCTCCATTTTAGCCCAGGAAGGGGTCAAAGGTGGTTGGAATTGGGGGCGGCGGCAGTGGAAGCCTCTGTATTCTGCCTTTCACAGGTGGACTCATTACCATTTTACAGTGTGTGCTGGTTGCCCATACAGCTGTTTTGGCCCTTGAACACACTTGGGGTAGAGAGGAAAGAGTTTTGCACCAGAAGCCCACAGTGGATCAGGGCAGCACAGCATTTTGAAATCACTGTAAAATGGAGAGAATGAATTGGTGCTGGCAACAATTTTGCCTTCTCTTTTAACTGGGCTCAGCAAGGGGGGCTCAGCTTAACATATTTTTGAACTTTCCAAAGTTTAAATGCTGCGTACATATACAAATACAGAAGAAAGAAGCATAAAGAAAAACAACAAGGCATTGGTGTATTTTGGAGACAATGTATTTTTTAATTTGAGGAACTCATTGTATGAATAATGAGCAGCAATCTGTATAAATAACTTTTTTTGTAGGTTCTGTCCCAATATTCTAAATTCTTTTACTCAGTGAAAAAAATCCAAAATATCAGTTGGTGGAATGGAATGTTGTTGGCATAATTAAATCCAATGGTGTTTAATTTTGATACCAATATTTCGACAGGTTTTTCTCTGTGCTCTATAGAAGAAGAAGGGATTCGCCGGCTCTATGTGAACAGTGTCAAAGAGACGGGTCTGGCTTTCAAGAAAGGTATGATCCAGGGAAAACTCTCTTCCTATTTAAACCATTTACTGAATCCAAGCTGCTTCTTTCTGTTATCCAGGATATACTTTATTTCTTCTACCTCACTAGAATTATCTTAAGAGTCACTGCAAAATTATCCCAGCCATAGTCTCTTCCAGATGATTTTAGACTTCATTTCTTTTAAATCATCAACTGTCATAACTCAAATGAACACACAAAGTAATTCTAGAAGAATGGTGGGCTAGGGATTTTATTTCTCTATTATTGTAGCTACCATTGATAATTAATTTATGGATGACTCAGGGGGAAAATGTCTTACTGAGAAAGTACTTTAAAAACAGGACAGCAATGTAAAATATCTTACAAAAAGGAAATTAAATGGGATAATTATACTGTAAAACACTTAAATTACAGGAAGCTTATCGAATCTGGTCTTAAAACAATCCTGCCATTTTAACACTTCAGAATAACACAAGTCCTAGGCTTGGATCTGAATTCACAGAGTGTCTTTGGACAAGTTAGGTATATCTGCAAAATTCTGACTCATAGAAGGTTCCGTGGCCAAACAAGTTAAGGTAGTAAAGGCTTGGGGGGGGGTCAACAGTGGGAGGGCTTCTAATGTCCTGGCCCCACTGGTGGACCTCCTGATGGCACTGGTATTTCTGGCCACTGTGTGACACAGAGTGTTGGGCTGGATGGGCCTTTGGCCTGATCCAACATTGGCATCTCTTATGTTCTTATGTTCTGTGTGAGGGGCATGATCCATAAGAGTGCTCCCCTGCATTGGCTCAGCCCCCCATCCCCACAGGGTGTGAAAGTGATCTAAGAAATTACAAACACCTCCCAGCCAGGAATAGTGCCACATTGGTAGTATTTGCATGTCCAAAGTCCCATGTAGCCCCTCATTACTAGATATGCTTAGATTTTGCTGAGACTGCTCTTCAGGGGTGAGTTGCACTAGTGTAGAGGAACAGTTTTGTGGACTAAGCCCTAAATGTGTTTTACTGTGGATTAATAATGACAAGTTTTATATTTTGAAATACAGACATGAATGCAATAACCTGCTGTGAATTGTAATTTACTACTTTCTCTTTGCAGGCCTGAAAGCTGGTGATGAAATTGTTGAAATTAATAAAAAAGCTGCCAAAGACCTGAATTCAGCCATGCTAAGAGACGTTCTTGTTCAGCCTTCTTTGTGCCTTATAGTGCGGACGTATCCTGAGTCAGAGCAAAAACTAACACAGCTACCACCACGCCGCACAGACGGTTCTTTTGACCTGACTGACAGCCCTTTGAGATATGTCAACAACAGCCAAGGTACCCCTCTTCAGTAAAAATAATAATAATAATACAAATAAATAAAAGCATGCCAGGCTTACATCTAACCTTTCCTAAACTTGAGTCATGTGTGCATGCTATGCATAAGAATTAGTTCCCCCTGAAACAATTATTAAGAGTGGTAATTATAGCCATCACTTGATTATGTGAAACTGCCAGCATCCTCAGTGAATCAATAAAGATGAAGATCCAGTGGAGAGAGAATGAGAGGGAAAACTCTCTATTGGCTCTATATCTGTATTTTTCAGGAGATGAAGTGGCCACATCCTCCTGAAATATATGTCAGGATTTTATACAAAAGTACTCTATATATTGCTTGATGAAGTTAGTGTTAAGCCCTTCCAGCAAGAAGGTTAGAATTCACGGCAAGGGGTTAAAAAGAAGGTGTGCAGAAAGGTCAAAGGGTTCTACATAAACACCAGTCTTAGTGATTGTTAGCTATGTTAATGGTATTCAGATGACCTACTAAGAAATTCAACTATGATCCAACCTCTCAGAGCAGTGGAAATGAATCAAGGAGCAAGTACAACTAGATTCCTAACAAGAGGTATATAGGCAGACAGCCTAGTGGGATAGAGAACATCAGGAACAAAACAAGTGTTTGTAGCCTCTGGAGCTGTATCCGTGCTGCAGTTCCACAGGAAAACAGAAAAGCCACAGAAAGTCATATTTAGTACAAAGGCTTTTGAAGGTCTCATCTTTTCTTAGACTTTCTAGTCATTATGATTGCAAGGATATGCTTGGAAGTGTTTGGGCAAAACCGCAAAACCTACTGATTGGAGCAGGACTTTGATGTTCTGAACCATTCCCTATCTATTTCCCTGTCAAAGGCAGGAATGTGACTTTCTCACCTCACTCCTCCAGTGCCCCCCCACCCCAAAATTCAGTATTGCACAGTGGTTGAAATGCCCCCCAGGCTACAGAAATGCGGAGCTAAATGCCAGGCACACCCCCCCCCATCCTAAAGAGTTTCCAATCTGAAGTTTCACAGACAACAGAGGACAGCTGCTACTTGAAACCAATCTGAAACCAGCCTGCAACTCATGTTGAATTTTCTCGTATGCAGTGGATGTGCACTGCCCCGGGAACGCTTTTGGGTCACTTTTCCATGTAATAGAGCAGAATTCAAGCCCAGTAGCAACCTAAAGGCCAACCAGATTTCCAGGGTATAAGCTTTTGAGAATCAAAGCTTCCTTCATCTGATGAAGGCACATACCCTGGAAATCTTATTGGTCTTTAGGGTGCTACTGGTCTCAGATCTTGCTCTTCTGCAAACCAGCATAGCTACTCACTTGAAACTATCTTCCCTGGAATGCATATATGTACCTGATGTGTGCATACACAAAACAAATTAAAAAATGAGTTAGGAGGTATGCATGAGAAAAGATTAATCAAAATAGATGAATCACAAGCGGGAATTAAGATTGCTGGGGAAAAGATCAACAACCTCAGATATGCAGACAATACCACTCTGATGGCAGAAAGTGAAGAGGACCTAAAGAGCCTCTTGCTCAGGGTAAAAGAGGAGAGCGCTAAAGTGGGCTTGAAGCTCAACATCAAAAAAACTAAGATCATGGCATCCGGCCCCATCACTCCTTGGCAAATAGAAGGGGAAGTTGTGGAAGTAGTGACAGACTTCATGTTCCTGGGATCCCAGATCACTGCAGACTGTGACAGTAGTCATGAAATTAAAAGACGCCTGCTCCTTGGGAGGAAAGTGATGGCGAACCTAAACAGCATGATAAAAAGTAGAGACATCTCCCTGCCAACAAAAGTCCGCATGGTCAAAGCAATGGTATTCCCAGTAGTCATGTATGGCTGTGAGAGTTGGACTATAAGGAAGGCCGAGCGCCGAAGAATAGATTCTTTTGAACTATGGTGCTGGAGGAGACTCTTGAGAGTCCCTTGGACTGCAAGAAGAACAAATCAGTCAATCCTCAAAGAAATCAACCCTGACTGTTCCCTGGAAGGCCAGATAATGAAACTGAAGCTCAAATACTTTGGCCACCAAATGAGAAGGGAGCACTCACTGGAGAAGACCCTGATGCTGGGAAAGATTGAAGGTCAAAGAAGACGGGGACGGCAAAGGATGAGATGGTTAGACAGTGTCATAGATGCAACGAACATGAAATTGAGCACACTTCAGAGGACGGCGGAAGACCGGAAGGCCTGGCGGGAGCTGGTCCATGGGGTCGCGAAGAGTCGGACTCAACTGTGCGACTGAACAACAACAACAATGAGAAAAGACAGAATAGTGAGAAAAAACAATTTCCTCCTCTATTTCTCCATTATAAAATGTAACTCTTATCAGTTGTTGTTGTTGTTCAGTCGCACAGTCGAGTCCGACTCTTCGCGACCCCATGGACCAGCTCCCGCCAGGCCCTCCTGTCTTCCGCTGTCCTCTGAAGTTGGCTCAATTTCATGTTCGTTGCGTCGATGACCCTGTCCAACCATCTCATCTTTTGCCATCCCCGTCTTCTTTGACCTTCAATCTTTCCCAGCATCAGGGAAAGATTATCAGGCAACTAGCCAAAAAACAAAAAGTAATCAGTGGAAATCCAGCCAGTTGGCAGGTCCAGAGATAACAGAATATGGAAGAGACAAAGGGAACGTGAATGTGTAGAATGTGTAATTATTTGTGCATAGACCTCATTAGAGAGGGATAGAAAACAGCTAAAGCAGACTATTGATAAGCCATAGATACATTTTAGAATAGAGAAGTACAAAAAAGCTACTAGAGAGATATCTCCTAGAGTCACCTGGCACCAGTAGGGAGCAAAGAAGATTTCTGCTTTCAATAACTACGCTATAAAAAAGAATTTTCATTTTTTCATTTTATGTTTCAGTCATAACTTCATCCTTTGCTGCTGCCCCAAAGATTTTATTTAAACTTTTCTTATGATGCATTGGTGGACTATTTGAAAAAAACAGTTGCAAACTTTAGAAATGCCCCCCCGCCCCCCCCCCCCCCGGAATTTGGAGAATTCTACTTGGCCACAAGATGTCAGCATTATGCTGTATGAAACCAGTTCATTGTCAGTTTAATTTGTCGAGTGACTACTTAAAATAAAAAAAGACATCCTTTATTATGTAATAATCCAATCTGACTGAGGCTGGGGAGGGGGAATTTAAATCTTCCCACCTGTTTAGCATCATCAATCAGAACTGATGCCCCTCTCCCCAACAGTAAAATGCAGAAAAATGGCCATAGAGTGGCCATGTAGCCAGTTTTTTACTGACATTACTGATTGTTCCCTCCTTTTCCTGTTGCCTGATAAGGGATTTTTCCTATAATGGAGGGGAAGGAGAGGGGCATAACTATTCCTGTCTGTCTCTTTATCCTTTTCTGTGTGTTTTTCCTCAACAAATCTGACCCAAGATAAGTGTTCACATAAGGGAGGAGCAGGGTTTGCTTTTAACAAGAAATATATCTCAACTCTTATACCATTTGAGTGAATATTAAATCCCACTCTTTCCCCTTCCTGGACTGGAAGATGCCATGGTTCAGTGGAAGAGCACACACATTGCCTGCAGGAGGTCCCAGAGTCAATAAATGGCAACTCCAGTTACAGGATCTCAAGTGACAGGTGTAAGGAGACACCCTTTTTTTTTTGCCTTAGAGATCCACTTTCAGTTTGAGCTAGGTGAGATAATGGTCTGCCTCAGTATGGGACAACTTCATGTATCTGATTAAAACATGAGGACGCATGTGTGATAAGAAGCACAGCCTGGATAATATCTGAAATATCTCTATATGTGTTCATGCAATATGATTCTTATTGGTCCTGACATTTCTATCGAAGCCCTGGCTGGATGAGACAGTAGGTCTGATGTTGGTGCAGGCCCTTCTATGCAGACTCAATGTTCATTGTTGACAAAGGAGAATCATTGGGGAGCTGGAGTGGCCCTGGTTTGCAAGGATTTTATCTTGTTCACCAGGGGTGCTCTTAGACAAGTTGTATTGAGTGTACATGGGATGGTACATTGTATACGATCTGAAGAGAAACTAGCTAGGAAAGTCAGATCCAAGGCAGCTCTTAGAAATGTCTCACAATGAGTTATAAAGTATTGATACTATGCTTTTAAAATTCCAAACTGCTGTTATCCTGACATTTTAGTTGTACATTTTAGTTGTATAATTGTTTTATTCTGAATGCAATGTTTTAAATTATAAGTATACTTTGAATGTAATTTTGTATTGTAACGGCCAATGGCCATCTATATACATAAAAGAAAGTCCCCTCACCATAAAATCAACGCCCAGGCCAAACCCCCCATTGATTCCTATGTGGCTGCCAGACAGCTGCCTCTCTGCACCCCCCACTCTCTGATTGGTCAGCTGCAGAGCTCAGTGTTCTGAGGTAAAAAAACCCAACAGTTACAGGGGACTGCAGAGAGCTAACGACAGTTGAGGAAATCAGGAGTGGCCAAGAACCACCTGTGAGGTGAAGCAAAGCTGCTGGCCCAGGCTCTCCGATGGCTTCCAACACACTCCCCCCACCTCCCACATCTAACAGGCAGTTGTCTGTCAGGTGCAGTCCCACCTCCACAGTGGCTTCTAATACTCCTCCCCCTCCCCCTCCTACACTGGACAGGCAGCTGCCTGTCAGGTGCAGGAGAGGAGGTGGAATGGCTTCCAACACACTCCCCCCACCTCCTACACCTAACAGGCGGCTGTCTGTCAGGTGCAGCAGCGGTTGCAGGGTGCTTAAAGCCATGAGGGAGCCCACCCTGGCAGTAACGCCTTAGTGATCCTGCCAGCCCCGCCTCCACAGTGGCTTCTAATACTCCTCCTTGTCCTACACTGGACAGGCAGCTGCCTGTCAGGTGTAGGAGAGGAGGTGGGATGGCTTCCAACACACTCCCCCCACCTCCTACACCTAACAGGCGGCTGTCTGTCAGGTGCAGCAGCGGTTGCAGGGTGCTTAAAGCCATGAGGGAGCCCACCCTGGCAGTAACGCCTTAGTGATCCTGCCAGCCCCGCCTCCACAGTGGCTTCTAATACTCCTCCTTGTCCTACACTGGACAGGCAGCTGCCTGTCAGGTGTAGGAGAGGAGGTAGGATGCTTACAGCCGCTGGGAAGGTTTGCTTAGCAGGATTGCCTTAACCCTGCTGCTGGCTCAGCTCCGCAATGCCTTTAAATACAATCCCCCCCAACACCAGACAGGCCGGTGTCTGTCAGGTGTAGTAGCAGGTGCTTTTGGCCCACCTTAGCCACACTCAAACCCACAATGGAAATATACTCCAAATTTGTAGAAAACTGATTTCCTTTATTAGGTTATTTAACTTCTCACAATGTGGGTTCTAGAAAACTGGTTCATTTGAACTTGCTTAATATCTGATTGCTCGGATGGTGTTTTGAATATGTAGTTATGTCCCAGTTCTAAAATGTAACATAAATGAGAAGGATTTTTGTTAAAAAAGGGGGTGTGGGAACAGTATGCCCTCCCTCCAAATTCAATGCCCAGGCCAAACCCCTGCACCAAGAAACCCAAAATAAGGGGAGTGCATTCCTACCATGACGTCAACCCCCCCCCCAAGAGATTTCTGAGAAACATGATGACCCCTGCTTCTTAGATGATGACTGCTTCTTAAATGAACAGTTCTATGTGGCCTGCTCCAGAGTGAGCTCATCAAGCAGCCTGGTCATCCTAGCACCTGAGAGCAGAACCACCAATGTGGTCTAGAGAGAGGTCCTTCAGTACAGAAAAAAAGTACGCATGTCTCACTTCATTTCTTACACTACAATCTTCTCTGTTAGAATTCCTACAACAAATGTTACATTTCAAATTTCACATCATCAGTATTATAACTGGATTTCTGGAACTTAAATACCATAGCGAAGCACGGGTATCAGGCTAGTATACAATAAATCTAATCTACTACTACTGTACATTGTATATTGTGTGTACATTGAGAGGTTGAGTCGCATGACTGGTATAGATATTGGTAATCAGGGACATATACATTTCCCATAGATTACGGAAAGGATTCTGTTATTTTTCCTCTAGCCTCGTAGATTACCCCAGTGAAACATATGCTCAACCATTTAAAAATTGTAAACCTTAACAAGACTTCTTATACAGCTGTATTCCTAATACAAATCCACAATTTACAGTAACTGCTCCCTCCACATACCCTAAAACTCCACAATATCCCCAAAAGTAAATATCAACATTTCAGAATGAATGGCTGCAGTGCAGTATCATTACACAATGGCTGCATATGCTGGGCAACACAATAAAATGTAAAGTATGTTGCACCACTTTACTGATGGTGAAAAGTCAATAAATAGATTTCACAAGTACTTTGAGGAGAGTCTATGGCTTTGTGGCAGTTAAATATACAAACAGAATACGTAATTCAGGGGTGTCAAACATGAGGCCCTTGGAGGGCCCCGATCCAGCCTGCAAGGCCCTGGCTGTTTCCTACTTCCTTTTCCAGTTCTGCTGCTGCTGCCGTGTCACAGCTTGCTTTACCAGTCTCTCCCAATTGCACAGGAGAGATAGGTAGGCAAGCTTCTCCTGTGCGATTGAGAGAGCCTAGTAAAGAACTGACTAAGGCTCCTTTCCCTCCTCCTCCAAGGGAGAGGGAGGGGACAGCTAGAGCTCGCTTCCTGGCCAGCGTGCAGGAGACAAAGGGAAGAGCTTGCTTTGTGAGCTATTTTAGAGGAATTTGTGAGCTATTTTAGAGGAATGTGAGCTATTTTAGAGGAGGAATAACAAGTGAGTGAGGTGGATTAGGCTGTGTGTCCAGACCAAGTTCACCCAGTACATTTCCTTTGTAGGAAGTTGTAGTTATTTCTCTGGGGAAGACTATAGTTTTGTAGACAAACACATGGCCCTCAGTCTGTTAGGATGCCTTCTCATGTTCTTGACCAGCACATGAAGCAATTTATGGATGCAATGCCCAGCCATTTCATGTTTTCCCCTGGGTCCTAGGCTAGGAATACTGAGCATGAGATTCCTGTAATGAATGTCAGTAAATCAAAGTATGTTTGCAGCTTACAGATACACACCTCAACAGCATACTCAAGATTGCTACAGCACAGACATTTTGATGCAGTAATCCATAGCATATCTGGCCAATTTTGTCTGCAAAGTAAGTAGCAAATTGATCACAGTGGGCCATTGTGTCATCCAAGTCAAGTTCCTTGGGTCTAAGATAGAAAAGTCTCTGAACCACATGAAACAGCTCAGCTGGATGATTATGCGCAGACACAATGGTGCAGGAGAAATATTGCCTTTTCGCCATCACCACTGACACAGAATAAGCTGTAATATGTTGTGTCCAATCAGTCATAATCTGAGTTTTCCACCAGTTGCACTCTAGCTGTCATCCCCCGTTTCATCGCCATCAGTTCCTCAATGAACCAGGAAGACTATTTGGCTTTGTCTGGGGTGGGGGGAATCACTTAGGGGTGATTGTGTCAACAGCCTAGGTCCTCTCCCTATTCCAGAGAGCAGTCAGGGCCTCAAGAGAATATACTGAAACTTTGGATCTGAACTTCTCACTATGTGCAGTGTAATGAAGAATACAGTGTCTGTATTCACACATATTCAGAAGCCAATGCACAACAGGCTACTGAAGAGTAAATTAATACAATATGAATATGAGGAAGAGAATCTTCATCAGTAAATCATGGGAGTTGGGAAAGGGATTCTCAAACAGTGATCACCAGAGTGAGGGCAATTACATAAAGGTGTTTTATCTGAGGAAAAACAGGAGGGTGTACACTGTATCTTTTGAGGCTGAAGGGGAATTCTGAATTGTTTTTGTGATCCAGCATTCAGTAGCATCATTTATTCTCATTGTGCGAACCTTGCCAAAAAAACCCAACAACCACAGTATAGGGTTTTGCAGCAATGATGGGTAACCTGGTAAAATCACCTCTTCTGCTAGTGATGTTGTAATGCTTTTCCTGTGATCGTGTCAATGTTATACTATATAGGTATAGTGATTTATGCACTGTGAGCCAGTTTGGGTGCATTCTGGAAAACCTTAAGTGTCCAGGACATAATATTGATCCCCTCATGGAATTCTGCAACTTGTTGTTTGAAATCGATATTATATCAGACCTCTGTACATTTGTGTTCATAATAAGAGATACCAGTGTTTAGGCACCAGCATTTATCTGTCACCTTCTACCCTTTAAGATTCTGAAAAAGATAGCACTCGCTAAGTAACTTGCTGAGTTTATAATTGCATTTCTTTTGAATTAAAGTTGCTGTTGTATCATTCAGGTCATCTTTAGTGAAATTTTTGTGCAAGCTTCTGAGCTATCAAATGCACTTCATTGATTTCTTAAAGCAGTATGAATGATACCCTGGTGTCACAGCCAAATTCTAGCTGGAGATTGTATTTGCTGCTCTGCTCTCACTATATATTTTGTCTGCAGTCTTAATTTGAGTTTTTCTTTCATTTCTATTACATCCAATAATTGTCAAATTTCATCTTAATTATTTAGTGATTTCTAATATTGATCTGTTTCCTCATACGTAAATAGTTATCCACTTAAGGAACCCTTGAAAGGAGAGATAAACCCTTGAAAATACTGAGCAAAATATGGATGTGCCTCTGTTTAACTTTTCGAGGGGGGGGGGTGTCGCCTTCCTTTGTACTAAGATTTAATTTTCTTTGTTAGTTCCTAAAACTTTTCGATTTATATATATATATATATGTGTGTGTGTGTGTGTGTGTGTGTGTTGATTATATACATTTCTGAGACCCGTATATCTAAATGTTTGTCATATGATTTTCTCTTACATTAACCAAATCACTCACAATTTTTTTGTTTTAATATTCTTGTTTCTTAATGGAATATCGCAATAGTTTATTATTGTTGTGTCCAAGCTCATAGTCTGAAATTCCATTGCAAATAGGTTTCACATTTATCATTTTACTTCAAAAGTAAAAACGAATTATTAAAGATGTACCATAAACTATATAATGAATGCGACATAAATGAGGCAGATGCTATACTACCTTTAAATAAGTGTTTTCAAAGTACATAGCATTATCAAAATGATGGGGTTTGGGGTGGGAGCTGTGAGATACAATAGGTAATAAAGCATTTGGTGTGGTGCGCCACCCAAGGCATATAAAATATTAGCCTAAATGTTTAATTTCTTTCTGTCTGGGATTGGTGTCTGCACTGCAGGAAGTAGATTATAGCATGTTTTTCTTATAACAGGAAGGAGAGGCCAGGCAGCTATAAAAAGTAGTGGGTTTGTTAGCATAGCAAGAGTTGAGGATGTATTTTCATATGGCTTTGAAGAGACTGTTCTTCATTGGAGACAAACTGAAACTGCTCAAGTCAGGTAGGATAGGAGGCTTGATTTGAGGTATTAGGAAAACCTTGGCTGTTAGATATGTATACAAGTCAATAGACCACAGTATCCAAAAAAGAGATTTCATTCATTCATTCATTCATTCATTCATTTATTAAACTTCTACCCCGCCCTCCCTACACATGGGCTCAGGGCGGCTTACAAACAGGGCACCATGTGCCAGTACATAAAAACAGAGTAAAAACAAACACAACAACAATATTAAAATATAATGTGCTCAATGTTAGTTGTCTTCAATGCGAACAATGTTTTGTGACAAAATACATGATAACTAGTAGTAAATGGGTTATACAAAATCAGATGTGTAGGTAGACCAAAATGTATTTCTAGGAAAGCTATTTCTGAGACCAGCTTTGATTCACACTCAAAATTATAGCATCAAGTTTTCCAGATTATGTGGTGATTTCATGCAAAGTACTCATTTTTACTGTATTGATCTGCCTGCCACTGTAGGTCTGTAACAGGTTTTTTTACCATCTTATTCTCTCTCTTTAAGTCCTGCAGTTATGGGCTCAGACAGATGATTATGTCATTTGCTTCTGGTGTATCAGTGTTTGCTGTGTGGCACCCTTGTGATGTTATTTCCCTCCTTTCTTTTTTCCCCCCCCATTCTGGCAGGACACTTTCTCTCCAGCGAACAAGACAGCTGTGTTGAGACAACTCCAGAAGAGGCAGAAGTGCTTGTCTTGGAATCCTCCGATGAGGCTGATAAAACAGGCAAGGTGTGAAACTTTCCCTTGTCACATTGTATAAATAGCTGTGGCATGGAAGGCTAAAGACAGGTGTGCCAACTTCGCAGCTGTGTGTGATTAGAGCTTTTCATCCAGGGAATGTTGATCTTGTCCTTAAGGTGTTTACAAATGATATGAAATGAAACCAGTTAGATCTCTGATTACAACCCATTACCACCTGCTGAACCTAAATGCTCCCCCTGTCCATCATGAACGCGTGGCAGTAATATTGGAGCCTACACTTTTTGGTGTTCCTTTTCATCATGTTAACCTGTCCAAATACCACATAAGACATACCATGTTTCCCCTTACCTCCTTCCTTTTCACATATTCATATATTAAATACAAAATTGTATATATATTTTTAAACTGGTATCACAGTTTCCATGGTTCCATTCTAAATGCAACAGCAATATCAGGCAATCTACATTTTATTGAATTAGAACTCTCCAATGATATTAAAGTGTTTCGACAAAGTGCTGATAGCTGCACATTAACATAGGTAAACTCGCCAGATTTTGGTTTTGAATGTGTGTATGGTAACTCTTTCTCCTCCACCTTACCCACCTCCCCACACACCTAGGAATTGGAGCAGCGAGCCCTCCTTGCCTTCTCATTCCTCAGACTTCTTCAAAAATAGTGCCACAGACCCATTTCAAATAAATAAATTCTGAATATCCTTTGAGATATACTGGTGTAGAGTAGTGATCCCCAGTCTTTTAAAGCTGGAAGGCATGTTTGGAATTCTGGCACAACCACAAAATGGCTACCATGGGAGGCAGAACTAAATGCATACAAAAGAACCCCAATTGCAGGGGGGAAAGAGGGGCAACTTTAAAAAACACACTGGGAAGAAGAGTGAAGGAGAAATAAATCAACACTGTGGTGGCAGCTGCTGCTGAAACCATGTCATTTTTATTTATTTTATTTATTTATCAATAATTTCTATCCCGCCCTCTCCATGGACGGGCTCAAGGCGGCTCACAATCAAGGGCACTATGTGCCAAATACATAAAACATATAAAAACAATAAAACAACCATATTTTACAAAATAAAGTGCTCAGTGGTGTTGATCATTTAGTTGAATCAAGATGGTGTCCTGTAGATGTTATACACGTCCCGACTCAGTGGTGCCGATCCATCGCGATACTGTGGCTTGATCTTTATAACGGGCCATCCCATTTCCCCATTGTTACTAAGAGATAGTTGGTGGTGGTGGTAGTGGCGGCTCCTAATTGAAAGCCTGGCGGAAGAGCTCCATCTTACAGGCCCTGCAGAACTGTGAGAGGTCCCGCAGGGCCCTGATCTCCTCCGGGAGCTCATTCTACCAGGTAGGAGCCACCACTGAAAAGCCCCTAGCCCTGGTTGTAGCAAGCCTGGCCTCCCTGGGGCCTGGAGTCACTAGCCAATGTTGAGTCCCCGACCGTAGTGCTCTCTGGGGTCTGTATGGGGAAAGGCGGTCCGTCAGGTATGCCGGACCCTGGCCATATAGGGCTTTAAAGGTAAGTACCAGCACCCTGAAGCAAATTTGGAAAGGTATTGGCAGACAGTGCAGTGCTTTCAGCACAGGCCGGATGTGCTCCCATCTAGGGAGACCCATCAGGAGCCTGGCCGCAGCCTTTTGCACTAACTGCAGCTTTCAGATTTGCGACAAAGGCAGCCCCATGTAGAGAGTATTACAGTAGTCCAATCTCAAGGTGACCGTCGCATGGATCACTGTAGCCAGGTCATCGCGGTCGAGGAAGGGAACCAACTGCCGAATCAGCCGGAGATGGTAAAAGGCCATCCCGGCAGTGGCTGCCACCTGGGCCTCCATAGATAGGGAGGAATCCAGGAGCACTCCCAAACTCCTAACCTCCAGCGCTGGCAGCAAAGGCGCCCCATTGAAGGTCAGGAGAGGGATCCCTGTCCCCAGACCACCCCGACTCAGGCACAGGACCTCCGTCTTCGTCTTTAAATCTGCAAACCCAATCTCCTCTCCAGTAGCCAATTAAAAGTACTGTTGGGCAAGGGCTCCACCTGGACCCACCATCTAACAACACTTGGTGGGCACCAGGAAAGGTGTCAATGAGTACCATAGTAGCCATGAGCACCATGTTGGCGACCCATGGTGTAGAGAGTTTGTAATCCGGAATACTCAGAATTGGCCTGGTAATTAGTAACAGGTCTGAGTTCCCCCCTCATCTATTCTGTGGTTTGCATTTTTTTGTTTTTTTCACCACCTTTTCGCTACTTAAAACTATTGCTTCACAGCAGCTATGCAAAGGTCATTTCTGTGAAGGAAATGCCATGCATGACACATGTACCTGTGTTACAAGCACACAGATGTGTATTGTAGTGGGATAGGAATCTGCATTTGGTGGTATACCACAGAGTCTGGACATGGCAAAATAAATGTGAGTGTATTTACCATGTGTGACTCTGTAAACTTACAGGGTTCATGAAAATTCTATCCATGTAAGAAATGCAGTCGCTGTAAAGTGGCCCTGAGTTGTAAACATGATCCCGCTAGGGTATCACAGTGGAAAGGAAGGAAAAAGCTCTTGGCCTCTTATTTCCTGACCCTTTGTCACACACAAGCCTAGAGCCCTTCCATCATAGCTCGACAGTGGAAGGGCTACTTGTGCAAGGCATTCCCAAGCTTGAAACAGCCACAAGACCTGTATCAGCTTCTAAAGCTTGGGCTCGTATGTCATGCAGAAGGCTGCTGAAGTCTGTACTCTGGTTTCCTGCAGAACCAAATATAGTAAGTAATGCTGAGCATTTTTTTAAAAAAAGGAAGAGGGAAGTATTAATCTCTCTTGATGCATGTAGATTTTAAACTTTTAAGTATGGTCAGTACCAGACTAGTATGAAGTCAGAAAGGTATTACCGTATTTTAAAATGTCTTCTGGAAGATCCTGAATTATTAATTTAAATATATTTTTGAATACCTATTTGTACTTGTATTCTAACTAGATCACTAAATTTTGCAGAGATAGAAGTGACCTTTGTGTAATTTGTTTCCCCTCCCCTTTTTCCAGTTGCATTTCTCTTATCTAAAGTTTTGCTACTGTTTTAAAAACTTAATTAAATTGCAAATTAAAAGGGGTTTCAATGGTTTAGTGATTATCAACTGAAGTATATGAAGCAAAATTTACATCCTTTATGACCAGTATCCGAATCATTAATAATCTCTAGGTCTGTATGCAGCATTCCTTTCTAATGTTTGGTTGCCAGCCCCCCCCCCCGTCCACCAGCAGGGGATGGGGGGGTCAGGGTTGCCAGATCCAGGTTGGGACCTGGAAATTTGGGGATAGAGCCATAGAGTCCACCCTACAAAGCATCCATTTTCTCCAGAGGAACTGATCATTGTAGTCTGGAGATGAGCTGTAATTCTGGGGGATCCCCAGATCCCACACAGAGCCTAGCATCTCTAAATGTTTATAATGCAATAAAACAGCTGCAATAAGAAATGTGCATTTAATTCAGTATTTTAATAATATAGGACAATTAATTTGAGTAACCAAAATAAACCTTGTGTGTTATCAGCATGCTTTAAAAATGGGGAATTATTTTAAAGAATTTTTTTTGAATTCATTGTGTATTCTTGTTAAACCTAAACTGAATGTGTAACTTAAATTGTTACATGAAAGAATTTTACCTGAATGGCAAACACATACTTGAATTGTTCCCATATAGTGTTGTATTGTATAAAATGTTAGCATTCATTATTGTTGCATAGGGACTTTCCTTGTGTTCTTGTATTCTTATGCCACTTAAGACACCACAGATCCTAAGAAACAATTTGGTGACGTGGACTTTTCACTACATCCTAGTTCTTCCCTTTTTTCTAAGTATTATATTTCTGTTGGTATGTCATCACAACGCTTACTTTCATCTCACAATGTGTGCTTGGTTGATTCTAAAATAAAAGCTTTCTTTGCAAACTATATCAGTATTGCAAATTAACTCTCAAATTTACTAGCCCACAAAAAGTGTTTGTTAGTCTGTTTGCCTTTCATAGACAAGTGTTAGTTATTTGGGGACATAAAAAATAACGAGCTTTGTGAAATTCCATGCCTGGTCTCTTGAGGGGGATCTTCACTTAGTTCAAGGCAATCATGCAAGTGGCTTTTTACAAACCTGCCACAAGGTTATTTTTTAAAATCAGTCTCTGGATCTCTTTTAATAAATTCTTTTTAGTCTAAAAGGCCATCTTATATAATTGGGGGGGAGGGGAGATTAACTCTACAGTGGTATTCATTGTATGTTGAGCTTGTATATGAAGAAATGATCTGAAAACATCTTAAAACTTGAATCTTGCTGATCAGTTTTCTTGCCCTAACAAAAATAAGGTTTTGATTTCCATACATCCAGACATTTATGAAATGAACATGTTCCTGATGGTCTGCATAAGGCTGTAAAACGGTTTTTTAAAAAGGCAAGAGGTTTTTTTTCTGCTGAGAAAGACCTTATGATGAAATTTGTTAGAACATAACAGCAGCTGTGCCAGAGCAAACCAATGGGCCATCTGATCCACATCCTGTTTCATGCAGTGGCCAACCAGGTGTCCCCAGAAGACCTACAAGCAGGGCATGGAGGCAGGGCCTGTCTCATGCCATTTAGCTGAAGGACATGGATATAGGCTTGCAATTTCCCAGGTCCAGGCAGGGGATCCCCTACTTTTGCACACTCCTTCCTGCTGCAGGCCAGCTGGCTGGTGGGGGAAACCCCAATCCAAACAGCGCCACCACCATGCGATGTCCCCCATGTGCTGACATCATGCAGAAGGGTTATCATGTTGGGGACGTCAGGCAGTGACGCTCTGGTTTTGGGGCAAAACTCTGTGGTTTGATGCCAATTTTACCATAGAGTTTGGCTCAAAAAGCAGAACATCGCCCCCAATGGTGTTGACGTGATGACATCACTTCTGGGTGATGTCAGCGTGTTGGTGACATCCCTGCCCACTCCTCGAATGCCCCCCAAATCTCCCCACCAGTGTGACGAA